TAGACTGGGAGATAATAAACAGGGAACTTACAAACATTCCATGGGGAACTGTTCTAAATAATACAAGTCCTACAGAAGGAATAGAAAAACTGACTTCAGTAGCGTATCAAGTCTGTCTGAAACATGTTCCTTTGAGGAAAGCCAGAAAGAGATCTAACGTAGAAAGAGAATGCAGACGACACTATAAACGCAGGAAAAAAATAACGGAACTGCTTATGCAGACACGAATTTCCCGTCAAAGAAGGAATAATTTAAATAGGGAGATTGAAGAAATTGAGCGGAAACTGAAACACTCATATGAAACTGAAGAAAGGTAGTTAGAACAGAAAGCAATTCAGGAAATAAAGAAAAATCCAAAATATTTCTTCTCATATGCGAAATCAAAAGCAAAAACCACTGCCAGTATTGGACCTATTCGTACAAGTGAAGGTTCATACACGGAGGATGACAAAGAAATTAGTGAAATCCTAAAAAAGCAGTATGAGGACATGTTTAGCACTCCAATAAACAACATGAAGGTGGAAGATCCAGACAATTTCTTTATGCGGGATATTCAAACCCCTGTAAATATAACTGCTATAAACACGAGTGCACTAAATTTTGAAAAAGAAATTGAAAACATGCCCATGCACTCGGCCCCAGGTCCAGACTCATGGAATTCAATATTTATAAAGAAATGCAAAGTGCCGGTAGCACAGGCACTCAGTAGTGTGGAGGAAGAGCTTGGACACGGGGGAGATACCAGATGCACTTAAAGTAGCAGACATAGCCCCTCTACACAAGGGAGGGAGCAAAGCATTGGCAAAAAATTATAGACCAGTTGCACTAACATCGCACATCATAAAAGTATTTGAGAGAGTGATTAGGAGTCAGGTCACCAATTTCATGGAGACAAATGACCTTCACAACCCAGGCCAACATGGATTTCGAGCGGGAAGATCGTGCCTCTCACAGCTACTTGAGCACTACGACAAAGTCACTGAGGCATTAGAAGAGAAGCAGAATGCTGATGTGATATACACGGACTTCGCAAAGGCTTTCGATAAATGTGACCATGGCGTGATAGCACACAAAATGAAGTCAATGGGAATAACCGGTAAAGTAGGACGCTGGATACTCAGTTTTCTGTCAAACAGGACTCAGCGAGTAACTGTCAACCATATAAAATCTAGTCCAAGTGCAGTGAAAAGCTCTGTACCTCAGGATACAGTCCTTGCACCGCTGCTTTCCTTATTCTCATATCAGATATAGACAAAAATACAAGTCACAGCTTCGTATCATCCTTTGCAGATGACACAAAAATCAGTATGAAAATTACCTCGGCTGAGGACATTGAAAAACTTCAAGCTGATATTAATAAAGTTTTCGACTGGGCATCAGAAAATAACATGATGTTTAACAGTGATAAATTCCAGGTACTCAGGTACGGTAAAAATGAGGACCTTAAACATAATACAGAGTACAAAACACAATCAAATGTACCCATAGTAGAAAAACAGCATGTAAAGGATTTGGAAATAATAATGTCTGACGACCTAACGTTTAAGGAGCATAACCAAGCAAATATTGCGACAGCTAGAAAAATGATAGGATGGATTACGAGAACTTTCAAATCCAGGGATCCCATCACAATGGTTGTACTCTTCAAGTCACTTGTGTTGTTAACAGTGATAAATTCCAGGTACTCAGGTACGGTAAAAATGAGGACCTTAAACATAATACAGAGTACAAAACACAATCAAATGTACCCATAGTAGAAAAACAGCATGTAAAGGATTTGGAAATAATAATGTCTGACGACCTAACGTTTAAGGAGCATAACCAAGCAAATATTGCGACAGCTAGAAAAATGATAGGATGGATTACGAGAACTTTCAAATCCAGGGATCCCATCACAATGGTTGTTCTCTTCAAGTCACTTGTGTTGTCCTGTCTTGAGTACTGCTCAGCACTCACTTCCTCCTTCAGAGCAGGAGAGATTGCTGAAATGGAAGGAATACAGAGAACATATACGGCACGCATAGACGCAATAAAGCACCTAAATTATTGGGATCGTCTCAAAGCCCTCCTAATGTACTCACTAGAAAGAAGACGAGAGAGATATCAAATAATATACACCTGGAAGATACTGGAGGGCCAAGTACCAAATTTACACAGTAAAATAACAACGTACTGGAGTAAACGATATGGAAGAAAATGTAGAATAGAACCAGTGAAGAGCAGAGGTGCCATAGGCACAATCAGAGAACACTGTATAAACATCAGAGGTCCGCGGTTGTTCAACGTCCTCCCAGCAAGCATAAGAAATATTGCCGGAACAACCGTGGACATTTTCAAGAGGAAACTAGATTTATTCCTGCAAGGAGTGCCGGACCAACCGGGCTGTGGTGGGTATGTGGGCCTGCGGGCCGCTCCAAGCAACAGCCTGGTGGACCAAACTCTCATAAATCAAGCCTGGCCTCGGGCCGGGCTTGGGGAGTAGAAGAACTCCCAGAACCCCATCAACCAGGTATCAACTACCGAAAATCGAGGGACAAGGTGTGGGAGCAAGCATAACAGACAGGGACACTTGAGCCCAAACCCTAGGGCCCAGACTCAAAACAAACAAAACGGAAAACCCGGTGTAAAATCAACACTCAAACGTTCCCAGAGGAACAGAAAACGGGCAGAAAACACCAGAAAAGCAAAGAAATGACAACAGGAGAATAAAACCCAGGAAAAGGTGAAAAAACTCACCCAAGACGCTCGCTCGCACACCCAGTCGTATGTAAACAAACCGCAACGCCGCCCTGGTGGCCACGCCGGGAAACCGGCAGAAGAAAATGGCCACCAGAACAGGGGGCTGTGACCGACGCAAAAGATATGAAAACACGCCAGCAAAAGTAGGAAGCAAGCAGACTGGATGGGCGAAAAACTCCGCCCAGAAACAGAAAACCCAGGCAGGGTCAAACCGCCCCAGAACATCCCCACAGCCCCGGGAACCAGCAACAGAGGCCCCAGGGCACCGCCATCCTCCAAGCCCTCCGCCCTTAAAGAAAAGTAAGAGTCCAAAAGAAAGGCAGCAAGAAAGGATCGCTGGTAAGACCCAGAAGCTTTGGCAGGAGAAACAGGCTCGAAAACCTCTGTCCCCAACCCGAACAGGGCAGCCCCCTGAAACCACCCAAGTCTCGGCCCCTAAACCCCACCCCGAAACCCGCAGATGGTTAGGAGCCGGGAACAGGGAGGGAAAGGGGCGAACAGCACCTAACCAAAACGGGGCGGCCTCGGGGCATCCAGGTGGGAAACCAACCTAGCTTGTTGCAGCAACCTAACCTAGCCTGCAACACGGATGCCGCCTGTACTCTGAACAGTAATAACATCAGGAGAGTACTGGAGAACAAGCAGAGAATATCTCTCTCTGGGTCAAGGTGTCAGTGACCCAACAGGCAGCATGACGGAGGTAAAAGTGGCGACTGTCACCCGTAGCCAAGGGCACAGCAACCAACGATCCCGTACAAGATGGGTTGGAACCCGGAACACACATTCAATGGTCCACCGAGCCCCAATAGGGTTTCCAGGGCCCGTAGGGGTAACAACTACGGAAAGCCCGGGCAAGGTGTTGCTAACCAGTTAAGAAACCCAAAAATAACAAGGGGTAGAGGATAACACTGAAAACCCCTGCTACGTGTACAATCACGGGGGCCTAGCAGAGGGCCACGAAACACAACCAGTGGAACTATAGCCACACTGGGCAGACCCACACCAGGCAAATGAAAATAAAAACAAAAGAAAACCCCCGCCAAAGTACATTGTCTCCAGAGGCAACAGGAACCGATCACCGCTTAGGTGGCAGGTCGTGCAACACCTTGACACCCTAACCAGCACAATACCAGTCCCTACCCAGGGCCAAACAAGGGCCCCAAGCCCCAGCTGGCCCCAAGGGTGAGGCAAATGTTCTTGCGAGCAGCAAGAACCTCTACAGGAATGGTTCCCGAACACCCCAGGGAAGACAACCCTGTCACGCATTGGCAGTACTCACAGGGCGCTTAGGGAAGGAAGCCACTAAGCGCATGCAGCCCTGGTACTGATGATGAACACCTGGCCACCGCACAACACAACGCATGGCAGTGAACGCCACACAAGGCAAACACCGCCTAGGAAACTGTGGCCAGAGAACCGTCTATCCCGGTTGATATTAGCTTACGAACTGAAGCTTGGCAGCCGGCGCGGTAGGTCCGGGGCTCCCCCTTCCCCTCCCGGGGCGGGGAGGGCTGCGCGGACGATCGGCGTGGCAGTAAAGTGTGATGTTTGCTTGTTTGCTTGTTTCCTTGTGATTGTAGGGAGTTTCTACCTCTCTGTTCAGTTTTTTGTTTTAGTTTTTTACCATGTGGGGTTTGTTTTGTTATGCCTACCTTTCTGGGTGCCTAACCTCGGTCGATGGCAGATAAGGAAAACCCCAACCACAAAGGGATTTTCCAGGGCCATTGCTCCCTGAAACTTCTCAGAAGGGGCCAGGTTCTGGCGCTGGTCCCTGGTAGGTCTGAACTCCTTAGCTAATGTCCCGGTTTAATATAACATACATTAGCCCGATAAGCTCCAGGGAGCCGTAGGGGCTCCCCACAGAAAATGGCGTCTGTTTACAAGAGCCCTGAGGAAGCTAATGTGAACCCCGTGTAGCCGCGGGCCATTTGAATCGTGCATGGCACCCTATGGCGTATATGTACGTCATGCGCACCATGGGACATGTTACTCATGGTGTATATATACGCCATGCGCAGTTTAAGGGTTAATGTGTTATACGGCAGAGTGCTAGGAAGACGGGACACCACGAGCATAACTCATCCTGTAACTACACTATGGTAATTACACACACAAACAGTGATTTTGAAAATACAGCCTCACTACTGAGGATACCAATTTAGTCAGTACCATTTATAGTTTAAAAGGATATAAAAGTATGCTATCAAAAATACTATAATGATGATTAAATTTTATCAGCAAAATTCAATAGCCTGACTTACCACTGAAACATGATAGCCTAACCGAAGTAGTTGTCTCTTCTTCATATGTACAGTGCCTCGCATAGTTTCAGTGTTGCGAATAAAGGAGTTGCGTCCAGCAATAATTACAGCATTCCACTGCACACCACTAATGTGCTCTATAGGAATCTTGAGTGAAGTAGGAGCAAGGTCAAGGTATTCTTCAGGCAGTGATACAGGATCTCCATTGTTGGTCGTGCAAAATACCAAGTCTGCCAATTACCATAAGGAATAGATCATCATATTTAATTACTGTTCTGTACTTAGATTTTAACTTATTATTCCACCAATAAAAAAAGAAAATAGAATAATATACAATATTTGAAACATTTATCAGTAACAAAACAATTTCCTCAATTTGTTAACCTGGATTCTGGAAATGTGGAAGGACATGAGTGGCTGTAACAAGGTGCTGCCCTCCCATCATGGCTGCTAATTTGTCTTTAACTTCTAGTAGTAAGCGTTCTTGATGCGTCAAGTACTTGGCAGGCCCTAGTGGCAAGTTTCCCATGTATTGCTGAAAAGAAAAGAACATTTATTAATCATAACAAGTATAGTATTAAAGAACCAACAACCAGTAATGAAATGCCCCATTGTGGGGTGACCCTGGTGGCTCCCTAAAGCTATGTTGCTCATATAGCTTCCAAATACTTAGCCACACAAGTCACAGGCGTCTATTGGCCTACTGGGGACCAGATCCAGAACATGACCCTCTCAAAAAGGCACAGGGAGCAGGGAATTGTTACAATCATCCCTCACCAAGAAAGCCCCCAGAAAGGATACAAAAAATACAAAACACCTGATGATTCATGAAAACAAAACTAAAACAGCCAAAAGATACTGCAAAAGAATCATTCATAATGAAAATGTTCAAATGAAATTTGGTACGAAGAGTGCTACCCCAGAGTGCAAATGCTAAGCCACCGCCATCGCCTTTTACCTCAGTGTGCATGCGCCAAACCACCAGCAGTCAGCAAAGCTGGCGTCCCATGCCATGCATTTAGTCCGTTGCTGATGAGCCATGAACTGATGTACTTAGTAGGGGGGAGTCAGGAAGCCACCAGGACTCATCCAGAGAGGGAAGTTTCATTACATTACATTCAATGCTGGCTTTCTGGGAAAGCCCCTAGGTGGCTCCTTGCAGCTAACTAGCAACAGAGAAGAAAGAAAAAGGGACCCGACAGGAAGGCAGTGGGTGGCAGTTACAATGTCAAAGAAGAAACACCAAGCCAGGAAATTCAGCCCAAGGCAACACAAGCCTAAATGGGAGCAGGAACGTTGACCAAATGCCTAGCCGCCAGGACCCTATTAGATCTCCAAAACCCTTGAGCCCGAATATCAGCCATGACAAACTAGTACAATATTAGCAAAAGCAGCAGCCAAAGCTACAAACTTATGAACATTGTGGGCCCAAAGGTAGACTGCAAGGAGGACAGCTTTGAAAAGCATTGCAGATGATGACCTAGCACAAACATGCCCTGGAACTGGGAACTAAGGAAACCATATCACCAAACAGCACATCCACCAAAATAGAACTAGAGGTGCATAGATAGTGAAGAACCACAGCTACCGGACACAACAAATGATGTACACCAGACCAAACAAATTATCAATTACCAAGGGACCCTTCTGGAGGTCAACAGTTTCATTCTTCGCCAGAAAAGAAGTAGATGGCTGCAGGCAAAGATCTCGCTCAACAGGACAAAATGATCATGCATCCTGTGGAGAGCATGAAATTTCCCAACTTCACAACCAGAGGCAAGAGCCAATAAAAACAAAGCCTTAAGAAAAACCTCCCAGTCTAAAGGGGCACGTGTGAACAGAGGGGAAGAAAAAACACACAACACTGATCCAGAAACCAAGAAGGTTCAAGGGGGAGCAGGGAGTTAACCTCAGCTAGAGGTTAACCATTCACTGCGCCATTTGACATAGCACGGCATTTGGCGGTGCGCCACCCGACTCAGGAGTGATGTTAGGATACTGTAAGATTCAAAATGCATGCACGGTTGGTTGGGTCCGAGATGGATGCCCGAGACCTCCAGTGAGTGATAGCCATCTTGAAAAAACTCCCAGCATGCCCCAAGACCACAAGTTGGCTCAGTTCTGAGTGAGCATCCATGGCTGGCGCATGCACCTCCGACTCCCAATCCCCTGTTGGACGGGGTGTCGAAAGGTCGCTCTCTGATGATGAAATTCAGACCTTATGATTAGAAGAAGATAAGGGTAGTAATATTGATAAAGCAAGGCACGATAAAGCACGATATGTTTGGACTTTGATAAATTTGGTGTTTGGACTTTGGGAGGAGTATCTAACCACACTGGGATTGGGAGCTGTGCATTCCCAATCCCAGGGCGAGATCCATGCTTCCACCAGTCATGTAGTCATGTCTTTCAACCCCCCCCCCCCATGTATAATGGTACCTAGTCTCCTTATCCTACAGAGCCAGCCACATCTTGAATAACTGAGGCCAGTGGAACAGTATTTATGCCGTTCCTTCTGGCAGGGGTGCCAGATGGCCTGGACCCCGGAGAGAGGAGGGGGATACGCTACAACCCCCCTCCCTCTCAGCCTAGTGGACCTCTTGCGGTCCTGGGGAAGGTGATGTCGGAAGTCACCTGGCTGATGCCTCACCCATATGAGGTTGCTAGCAGTATGTTGTATTGCTGTCATCAGTAGCGCTGGTTTTAGACGTCAACAAGTAATTAAGATGGACCGTCGCCTTGCTAATGTCATCGAAGCATGCCCAACCCTGCTGTATCAACAAAGGCATATGCAGGACCGGAGATGGAAGATGTATGGTCTTCAGAATGCACCCCAGCTTCCAGATTATGCAAGACCTTTCTCTGGTTCTCAAGGAAGCCACATCCGCTGAAGGAACAAGATGATTAACGAGGTGATCACAGAGGAACAGCACGATCCCTGTAGAGGGTGCTTAACCCGCCAATAGAGGGACACATTGCGCGTCTTTCAGTATTCAGTGTTTGATGAGAGAACGAAGAAAGTGGTTAAGGCCTAGTATGCTGTGATGAGGGACACCTGTGAGGGGATGGAAACTCAGGAGCTGTAGTCAGGACCTACTCATCTGTCACCAGGCCAGCACAGCCTCAACGCCTATAATTGCTCACTTCTATAGCAAGACCTCGTTGGTGTCAACGTCCCAGCATTGCCATCAAGACAAGATTAAAAGAGAAAAGTCAATTAGAAGAAGATGTAAATTTTGAAGGTTCTTCAGTCCTGAACGACTGGTTGCTGGACTGCCACTGTTGAATGGACCGTCGGGATTATGTAATATTGTTATATTAAAAGCAGGAATTTATGCATAAAGCCTGAATGATTGTGTAACTGTACTTAGTTAGGTTAGATATTTTTTTAAGGCAATTTATTTTTCAAACTGAAGGACCAGTCTGGGTTAAGACAAAATCATGCTTAACTAACATACACATGGTTTTGTCTTAACTCCGGGGAAAGAGGGATGTGACAGTTGTTGAGGTAACTTGAACAGAAACTTGGATGGTATCTGACTTACGAGACATTTACAGGGTGAGGCGAGGTTTCTGTGACCAATGTAACATACGTTTATGTTATGTTGTTGGGTTGATTAGATACACAGTGTTTAGCGAGTTTCATATTTATTTAGTAGTCCTGGATACAGCAGTGTCGTAGACGTTGAGACGAAGCCTGGAGCAGAGCAGAGCCGAGTGAGGCCGGAGTCGTGGAGCTCTATGTGGGAGAGCATGGCTCAATTGGGAATTGTGAGTGTCTGAACTCGGGGAGCGAGAGCATGGCCGCTCGATGCGGTCGTAGTTTTAAAGTTCTAAAGAGATGCGGTCCCTGTAGTTTTAAAGGTTGGAAGGCTATCCCATGTTACTAAATTCAAATCCGTCCATTCAATGGAAAATTGCGATAGACGAGTAAAAAAGCTTGTTTTCGAGAGAGGGAGTGGAGAGCTGTGGTCTGTGTCTCAGACGAGAGAGGAATCTGGGGTGTAGTGTTGGGTATCACAGGGAGAGGGAGATTGACAATCTGGTCAAGCTTCATCACTGCTGAATCTTGAGTGAGTACTGGTCCCTTATGTTCTAACATCACAAGTGTTGATAATTATATTTCCTTGATAGGGAAGATAGATTAGGATTTTTATATTGAGCTTAATTAAATAAATTTATATTATTAAATTGTCCATCTGGTGTATCCATTCGTACCTGTTAGTCATTCATAGAGAGTTGCCAGTAAATAAGGAAAATTAAATGTGTTCTCACCCGAAGACGTTGTCCCGCAGGTGGGACACCAACAAAGAAGCCACCTGATCACCAGAGAGAGATGAAGATAAACCGAGTCAAAAAGATTACGCAAAGACTCGAGGAGAAGATCGAACAAGCCACGTGATGCACCGGGCCGATCTGTTGGAAGAGGCAGAGCTGTGGGAAAACCTCCAGGTTCGAACATTGGGCAAACAGCGCCTGAAACCACGGCTGTTCCGGCCACCACGGGGGCCAAGACGACAACTCTCCCCTGGTAGGTCTCCAACCAAGTCAGGACCTGGAGCCACAGCTGAACTGGGAGAAAGAGGTACAGGAACCCCCCACCTCGACAGCTTTGCAGTCGGGGAAGGGCGCCACACACAGGGGAAGGCGCCGTGACAACGCCGACGAAGAGGTCCACCTCAGGGCGTCCGAACGTCCGGCAAAGCCAACTGAAGGAGTCGGCATCGACTGTCCATTCCGTGGAGAGGGGAACGAAACAGGACAAGCCATAGACCAAGACGTTGGACACTCCCCGCACATGAACTGCCAGGAGAGCCAAACCCCGAGAACTCAGCAGACGAGTCACCCAAAGCGACCAGCGCCAAAGAGCCAACGACCGCATCGAACTCCCTTGGTTCAGCCAATGAACCACCAGGGAGCAGTCCGAATAGAACCGGATCGTTGATCCACGGACGACCCGAATCCTCCGAAGCGCAAACCACACCGCCGTGAACTCCTGCACCGCGCTGTGGGCTCTACGGAAGGACAGACCCCACCGCCCCTGAACGGCCTAGTGAGCACTAGTCACAAAGCCCCAGCCAAGAGACGAAGCGACCGTGAACACATTGAGCGAGGGCTCGGGCAGGCGCCAAGGCACTGAACCTCGAAAACCCCGAAGAGGAAGCCAGCGACGCAGCAGCCGACGCAGAGCCCCCTTGGGTCGAACCCAGCAATCACGAGAAAGGCGGAAGGGACATTCCCGAAGGAACCAGAACAGCCAACATAGCCAAACCCGACCCGGCGAGTAGACCATCATCACAAAGTTCACGCTCCCGCACAAGCCCTCAAGCAACTGCCGAGTGACCCGGGTGCCCCCAAAAAACTGGTGCAAGCGGGACTGCAGCCGGAGGAGAGACTCCAGAGGAAGAGACAAGGAAGCAGTCTGAGAGTCCCACACAAGACCCAGCCACGGCCGAACCTGGGAGGGAACCAGATGGGACTTCCTCCAGTTCACAAAGAACCCGAACCCGGCGAGCTGGTAAAGCACGAAATCCC